TGGCATCTAAGGAGTCAGAATGATGAACATACAGAATAAAATAGGAACACAAGGATAGCTCATACTCTGGCTCTTTCTGCAAGGATGGCAGAGATGGGTAGAGAATTGGAAGCAGCACTGAGATCTCTTATTTACCAGCACGACTTCCTTGATGTCAGAGCACAGCCAGGGATCTGCACGGCCTCAAAGAGAGAAAGAGGCACCCCAGCTGGGATGAACTTTGCAAACTCGAATTTCTTCTTCATTTGCGCTTTATACATTTTGGAACGCCCTAGCATAAGGGCCTGTGGAATGCCCTTCATATAAACATTATAATGTTATAGCACTTTGTTGTTACACATCATTTAGCATCAGGAGATCTCCAAGTGGCTTAAAAAGGAGGCCTCATTTTAGAGACCTGGCCAAATGAGACATGAAGAAGTTGAGTCACAGAGAGAAGCAACGGCAGCCACCAGAACAGAGAGCGGACCTCACGCTCTGCCCTCTGGGCCACACACTGCAGGCAGCCCTGCCAGCAGCTCACTGTGGTTACCTGCTCTGTACAAAGAGCTCCAGCCTACCTCTTGTGGGTAGGTGCAACAGGGGCTTTGGCACCCCAGCAAACAGCTCATCCATGACTCCAATAGCAGTGCTTCTCCGAACCCAGGGCATGGCACAGTTGGCACAGAGATGGCAACCAAGGGGAAGGAGACCGACCAAGAAAAACAGGAGCATGAAAAACAAACATTCTCAAAAGGGTGATTCAAACCTGGGACTGCTGAACTGGATGTCCTTACAGCAGCTGTAATCACTCCTGTCCCACCGCACCCCAGTGAGGTCTGTGAGCTCCAGTGCTTCATGCTGCCATTGCTCTCACCAACACCAAGGTCATGAGCAAGCTGCAGGTCAGCTGTGTGTGCTGTCGAGGCAAACCTGGCTCTGCTCTGGATACCACTGCCTTGTTCTACTGAATGCTGCTCCAGAAGCAGAGGCTGAGCCCGCTACCCCTGCCACACCAATGGGTAGGGGAGTGGGAAGGGTGATGCGACCCGATACCAAGCCATCTTAAAATCACTAATTTTTAGAGGGGAAAAACTTAAATCACTAAATCAAAAAGCATCTTTCTGTTTCCTACCTAGCAACGACACACACTGCAGAGCTGAAACTGTGACTCCAAGAAAATCCAGTGCCCTGGGTCCGGACGATGAGGAGGCAGATTCAGCAGCGCTGCTAGAAATACCACCTTTCTGGCTGCCACTCCTGGTTGTGCACAGCAGCAGGGTGCTGCACTGACTGCGCCAAACTCCCACTCTTGGATTAATTTTAAACTAACCCCAATGACAGATAACATGAGACACGCTTCTGAATTGAAACTTAGTGGGTGCCCCATCCCTGGAGGTGCCAAAGGCCAGGTTGGATGGAACCTGGGCAGCCTGAGCTGGTGGGAGGCAGCCAGCCCATGGCAAGGGTTGGAACTGGAGGGGCTTTGAGGTCCCTTCCAACCCAAGCTGTGCTGTGATTATCTGATTCTAGGAAACAGAGAGCCCTGACAGAAGCTGGCAGTGTCGGGTGAGGACTTGGCACTTTGGGAAGTCTTAGCAAAGTGCAGGCAAATCTATCTGCATCAAGGATCTGTGCAGCCTCTACTGCCTTCCCCAAGGGCTGGAGCTCCCTTTTACATCAGCAGGAAATCTGGACCCAAGGAGAACAAAGCATGGGACGGGAACACACCACTCATCAGAAAGAACATGTGCTACACTCTGTTTAGAAGAGGTCTGAATTTTGCCTTTGCCACACAATCAGTGTGCAGTGAAGGTGTGCAGTGGTCTGGAGAGGTCCTTTGTCTCTAGGAGCGGGACTCTTGCTGGCAGCCCTGATGGCTGTCACAACCTGTGCCACAATAAGGGCAGTGAAGCAGTAGCACAGGTTGCCCCGAGAGGTGGTGGTGCTCCATCCCTGCACGAAGTCAGGTTGGACAGGGCTGTGAGCACTGCTGGAGCTGTGGGTGTCCCTGTGCACTGCAGGGGGTTGGAATGGATGGCCCTTAGTGGTGCCTTCCGACTCCAATGATTCTATGATGATTCTATGATGTATGAAGGCACAGGCGTTGTGAGCACACGCAGACACCTCTGCTTACTCACAAGGAGCTGACGGCGACCTTTCCCAACCTCACTTTCAGAAGCAATCAGAAAAAACAAGCGCAACTCTCAGAACGCCCGTACAGAAACAAAAGAGAAAATCTCATCAATTTAAAGGCATTACAGCCCACAAACTTAAGACCCATCCAAACATCCCTACGCTCCATAACACAAGGTGCCGAAGTCCCAGCTCGTGTTTGCGCTCTTTCCTAAACATCAGAGCATTCCTCACACCATGCTGGACACCGCGAAACCCTTCAGCCACGGCTGTTTGTTGAAAAAGCAAACCCGAGCCACGGAGGGGTACGCTCTCCTTCACCGAAAGGAAAACAAGCCTCGCGCGGATCGCGCTGGCGCTCGCAGATTTGCAATGCAAAATACCGACCGCTCTCTCTTGCCCTCCTTTCCCAGCCGGCCGGAGGCTGAGGCAGGAGATGGGCGCTCGGCTCCTCCGCTCCGCCGGCAGCTCTCAGGCTCGCGGCGACACGTGGGGAGCTCCCCGGGCCGGGGAAGGCGCGGCGCGGACCCCCGGCCCCTCCGCAGGCCCTCGAGCCCCGCCAACTTTCCGGCGCACCACCCGCCGCCCCCCGGCCGCACGCACCGCCCCGGCCCCGCCGCGGCCCGGCCGTTCCCCCCCGCCCCGGCTCCGGCCCCTGGCCCCCGGCCCCTCCACGCACTCACCGCCGCGGCCGGCCAGCAGCAGGGCCAGGGCGGCC